AGTAAATGCAGCATGAGAGTAATCAAAGGATGCACAGGGACAACCACCACTATCAGTCCACCCCCAGAGCCGGCGCCAGCCTGCCCTGGAGCCACTCACCCTTCCTAACACAACAGGACGGCCCTTGGAAGAGAAAACAAAAAACGCTCTGAAGATGAAGACGTCGTTGAACTGAAGAACCGGAAGGCTGGCGAGAGGCTGCCCCGCTCCCTTACCCCGAGTCTGAGGCTCAGGGAGGAGGAGACAGCACAGAGGCTCGGCCTGTGTGTGCCCCGCCCCAGAGGCCCTGCCACGTGGGGCTCAGACGGGCGTTGTGCTGCTCTGGGAGGTAAGTCCATGGAATGGTAGCTGTTGAAGTAAAATCAGAAGGTGCAGAAAACGTTCCCTAATTCAGTAGCCTTCCTGACTCTTTGCCAGAAACAGGCCCAAACTGTGAGGGGCGGAGTGGGGGACACATGATCATGAGCACTGGAGATGCCTGGGTGGGAGCTTTGGAGGGCACACACTGACCTGATTTGGGGAGAACTTCTAGAAGATTTGCAATGTCCTAAACACAACTAAATCCTATCAGTACAGCAGAGTGGGGACTATGAGGCAGGTGTGATGAATGGGTACTTCTGCATCCAGTGACCAAGTAATACACGTATGTACCACCTTGTGACCCACAAAAGTGCAATCATGTGAAACCAACGGCACTACGGCGAGAAGAGGAAATAGCCAGTATTGATATCGCGCAGAGTCCCGGGGCTGGGCAGGCCCAGCAGCCGCCACTGCATGCAGCCGCCCTCTGCCAGCCGTGCGGAGGCAGACGGAGGGGCACGGGGCCGGGCCCAGGCACCGAGGGGTGAGGCATGGGTGTCCTGGGTTGCTGGAGGAGGGCAGGAGCCCCCACCTGGAGGCTGGGCACTCACACACTGAGAGGCAGCATACCCGGTGCTGACGAGGGACGCGAGGAGCCCAGACCAGGAGGAGGAGGAGCTGGGTCAAAGCCGTTTACTGCCCTGTGGGAGCAACCAGATCACAGAAAGGGAAGAAAGGGGAAAAGAAAAACCGTCATTTACAATCACTCACACACAATAGGAAATTCATTTGCTTTCTAAAACTCCTCCTCGCCCACAGTAGGGTCCTGATGGCCCAGGGGGACTGGCTGCCTGGAAAGCACCAGCTCGTGAGAGAGCTGAGCCTCGGGAATGCAGGGGAACCAGGACCACATGGCCCTTCTTGGCAACTTCCGCACACCGGCCACTGAAGCCACAGTCCTGATTCTTTCCCCAGAGAGCAGCTCCAAATGCCTGGCAAGAGGGAGCTAGTTAAATATGGTACAACTACACAGTAAGATACCACACAGCCATTAAAAACGCATTCCACAAGTTTTTTAATAGCATGGGAAAATATTCAGAATGTAACACTAAGTGGAAAAAGGAGGTTACCAAACTGTGTATATTCAATAATACAAAAGAAAAAAAAGCAAACAGTAAATATTCTAGATTCTAGACTATAGTCCCTTAGACATTACTATCTATGTAGCTAAATCTACAATGCAGGAAGGGACATGTGTATACATGAATGTATATATACACACATTATATATGCACACACATATATGCACACACATATATGTACATAGGATCATATATATCATAGAAAAAAATCTAAGAATCATTATTTTTCTTCCCTCTGGGTTGTGAATTTTGTTTACTTTATCCTTTTTTAATCATTTTCCAAATCTCCTACAATGTATTAACACAGGAGTATCTTAATAAGGTGGAGAAAAATAACTTCTAAAAATTATTTAGCAGGCAACGCCAGATGAGTAGGCTTTTCAATGCAGACTCATGTGCAAGCAGCCCAGCCCAGCCCAACCCACTAGCCTGCAGCCAGGACCCAGCACACGGAGCCCAGCGATGCAGGGAGCTCCCCAGCGCCCCCCTTTGCCCCCGTGCAGTGCAGCCACAGAAAGCAGCAAGAGAGGGAGGGAGTGTGCAGCCTGGAACCTCCCTCAGGAGCCACTTCAGCCTTTCCACCTTGAAAAGCTTCCTAGGAAAACTTGTCCCACTAGCAATTAGGGAGACACAGCCAACTACAACGAGGGGCCACACTGCACCCCATCTGCCCACTGCTGCTCCCACCTACTCATCAAAGGGGTCCAGGGAGCTGAATACAGACTCATGGAGAGAGGCCCTCTTTAACAACAACAAAAAAAAGTACCGACACACACTCCCTGCAGAGACAGCTGTTTCATACATGGACAAGGTGAGGATAACCTCACAGAGAAACAGGCTTGCAGAGACTTATCAGTCCCTGCCTACTTGGAAGAAACAAAGTTGATATCTAAAGAAACTCAGAGTACACAACTGGAGTTTCAATTCCAACCACGCATACAGAGACTGAGAGCCATAGCACAGGCTCTGCCAAATGTCATTTCTCCCTGGTGTACACTGTCCTCCTTCCAGGACAAACAGCCAGATCTCCCCTTTCCTCGTTGGGTTGGGAGAGGTCTGATTTTTGACCAACACATTTGACAGTTTAAACCATGCTTTCCCATTCTCCCAAGGTCACATGCCTGTGCCTCTTCTGGGGTCAAGGCCACATCCTGTTTGCCACAGTAGCCCTCATATAATAGGTTCCATCTGTCTGGCTATTCCCAGAGTCCCTGACACCTGCTTCTCCTAGAAACTTCAGGGATAACCAGGCAGACCCCACAAATGACCGCAGCTTTCAGCATGTGAACCTCAGATTCCCAGCCTCACAGACCACAGTGGCAGCCCCCAAACTTGGACTGCAGACAGCCCCCCGAACCCAGCAGAAAGGGAGCACAGTGGATGCCGGGATGAATTTGGCACCTGGGCCAGAGAGGTGTGCAAAAGCAGCAACTAGGAGATGGCTCCTCGAGGAGGCTGGGGGCTGAGATTCTGGAATTTTCAAGTGAGATGGACCTTTAAGGAACATGAGGTTCATCCCACTATTACACTGCCAAGGAAACCAAAGCAAGAGAAGGTCCAGCCATTAACCTCAGCTTGCCTAGTGAGCAGTCAATGGGGAAGTCAGGCCCAGCTGCCTCCAGATGCCCAGGCCAGCACCCTTTCCTAGTCTCCCGGTCATAGGCACCCAGCAGCCCTCAGCAAGCAACCACTTCAGCACTCCCAAGGCAGCTCGGCTCTGATGGGAAAAGCAAGTGTTACAGCCCAGGCTATAAAGAGAGAACTGGTAGATTTCTGTGTGGACAGAAATGAGTGCTTCATGTGAAGGTGGGTGGAACAGAGAGAACGACAATCCACCAGGGTCTCACCTAGCACCTCTCTTGTGAGTCAAGAAGTGGAAAGTTAAAGAACAGAGAAGAAAGCTGGCCTTATAAGTGGGATGATAGGTCTGGTGAGATCCCTTCGGGACCTGCAAAGTTGTGCCCAAGAAAAAGATTACCAAGAGAAGAGACTCGATATTCAACATACTCAGTTTCAGGGAGCAGCAGAGAGCCCCAGGGCAATGTCCCAGTGGACAACGCAGGACTAAAGGAAGAGAGAAGGGGCAGGCTTGAAGATACAGATCTGGGAATCATACATGGAAAAAAAGGTTCCAGAACTATAAAATTTCATGATCTTACCACCAAAGACTAGGTAAGGAGACTGAAATCCAGAGACTCCAGCTAAGAAAAGGTGGTAAGGTCAGCTGTAAAATGGCAATGGAAGAAGTGTAAAGCGGGAAGAACCAAGGCACATTTAGAAGCTGCTCAGAAGGACAATAAATCTAAAGCAACCAACGTAAACGATGGAGACATGAAATCTGTCAAAGTAGCAAGGATGAGAGCATTGGAGAGGGCAGGAGGGTGGGCTACAGCGATCCTGAAGAGCCCACGGGCAGGCACTGCCACACCTCGACTCTCCCTATTTCAGTGGATGTGTGTGTGCACAGAACAGCTCCAACCTGCTCCAGTCCTCAGCCCAGGCTCTGCAAACTGCAAAGCAGTTCTGAAATGTAAGGGAGATCTTACACACATCCCCATCTACCATTCCATTTTAACTGGGGACTACATGCATGAGCGCAGAGGTAAAGGAGTGCCCATACAGCAAGGCTCCGTCCTCGCTGGTGCCTGAATTGAGAAAACAGAAGCAACTGGGTCACAGGAAGAACCCCAGTCCCTTGAAGACAGTCAAATGTGATCCCAGGGCCTGACAGCGACCCTATACACCAACACCAGACTCTGACTTCAACACTGCAGCTCCCTAGCCCACCTCAGGGGTGCCACCTGGTATGCTGCTCCCAACAACCCCAGGACCACTGCAACTAATTTGTTCTTGCTTCCCACAGCTGAACTAATAATAACGGCATAGAGTCAAGTCGAACAGCGCCTTGAAAGCTCACTGATGGGCTGTAAGTGGGTTAAAGCTGAGTCAGCCCCATGCAGTTAGTAAAACCAGATTGTTAATGTGTCTTCCACCACGCACCAGGATTGAGAAAGAACAAAAAGAGCACAGCAAACAAATTCAGTTACCCATGAACAACGTGGGAAATATGACTTTTTCTTGCCTAATAAAAGAAAGGAAAACATATTAAACAGTAATACAAATACTATTTCCACACCATGCCCTAAAATTAGTCCACGCCCACCTACACACAGCCCAAAAGAACTCAGACTGGCTTACAAAAATAGAGCACGTTACATAAGAAGTAACTACATAAAAGTTATGGGAAAAAAAGAATGTTTTTGAGGGAATCTAAGTGACTATTCTACACATGAAATGTGTGTCCTTTTAGATGCTGAGACAAAGGGTTACCACTGCTGAAGGAAACAGCTCAGCACTGGGGAAGCAGGGACGGCAGCCCACGTTTCAGGAACTGGCAGAAGTGATCACAGACCAGGCAAAATTCCGATTCCAAAAATCCCTCAAATGACCAGAATTTACAAAAAAATTTTGAATCCCATAAAGCAATATAGCTCAGCTAAGGTATATTGTTTTATGGGAGAAAGCTTCACTGCATCTAAAGCTGTGAGGGGGTGGGAAGGTGAACACATGTGCACCACACACACGCACACAAACCTACTCTGATTATGTCTGCTCCCCAGGCAATCCTGCCACAGGCTTCTGGCAGCACCAGTAAGCTCTCACCACAGTGCTACAGACTCCCCAGGAGTGAGAGGGAGGGCAGGCAGGTTCCGCAGTGGAGGGCTTTTTGAAATGGGGTGCTTTTCTCAAGCTGAAACTACTGTATAAGCCATGCTTCCCCACATCTATACAGGCAGGCTTTTATTTTTTTTTAACCTGCCAGAGTGTAGAATGGATCCAGGAATTGGGAGATCCTGCCCTTCCTTTTGCACCTGATACACAACATCTTGGTTTTTATCTAGTCAACAGGTTGGCAGGAAGAAAGACCAGAGGTAAAAAGCCAGGCAGCCTAGAAGCCAGAATCGAAGCAAATCAGCAATAAAGTGAAAACACAGCAAAACCCATGAAAGAGTTATCCTCAGGATACAGCCACTAGAAAGCTAACCCGCACCAGGTTATTTGAGTGCGCACACACAATCCACTTATTGTACCAGCTAAGCACTCGCACAGCGGCCAGCCCACAAAAGCATATTTCTTAACACAAAAGGCACAGTGTAAAACCAAAACCAAGTCTCTGTAACTGTTCCTACTGGGAAACACAGCACATTTCCAGGTTCAGTTCAAGAAAGCAATCCTACACTTGCATCTGGGATGCTCTCGAGGCACAGGGGTTGAGTCAGGGTGCCCAAGGCCCACTCCTGGTTTCTGCTCACACTGAGTCCCCACATCTTTTTGAGAGCAGGTTCACCTCTTGGCAATCCCTGCCCTGGTGCTCTGCATTGGGAGGCAAGTGGCAGGCAGGAGTAGTGACCCTGAACAGACAGTGTCATCCTTCCCTCATCGGGACTGTCCTGAGGGCTGCCACACACACAGGCACCTGTCCAACCAGTCCATTTATGGTTCATGCCTGCTCTCATGACATAAGGCACCTGAGGCCCATCAAGAAATATGATTCCAAGGAAAGATTAATAACTACTCTCAGAAACGGTCATTATAAGTTGCAGGAAAAAAATAATTAGGCACTGTTTCCAACATTTATGAAGACTTCCCCAAACGTTCTCCATATCGTTTGGGGAAAATGGCTACACTCAAGTGAAACCATCCAGCCATTCCATTTACCATTCCAGCATAAAAACAAGGGCTACCTCAAGTCTGCCTGAAACTCCTCAGCCTGAGGAAAATCAATTTTACATTTACTCCACCTGAGGAACCCCAATGGTTAGAATAAAGTTCTAATTACAGATCAGCGTGGTAGCAATCCCAGGACTTTGGGAGGCTGAGGCAGGAGGACCACTTGAGCCCAGAAGTTTGAGAACAGCCTAAGCAACATAGTGAAACCCCTCTCTTAAAAAGACAAAAAATAAAAAATTTAAAAAAAAATTTTTTTAAATATAAGTTCTAATTTTATTCTTTTTAATAGTGATGATTTACAATGTGCTTTTAATACAAAGTCCTTAATGAAATGTATATAATTCAGGGTAAAATTCTCTTAAGGGACAGATATCAACCAAAACACTCCACTACAAGGATAAGACCCTTTTCAGAGTGCCCTGTGTGTCAAATCTGGTCCTTTATAAATGTGCTATCATTATTGGGGATGGCAGAAAATATCAACTGCCTTAAGAAACTGTGAACATTTCTAGAGTTGTACCTGCTCTGCTTCCACAGAAAAGCAAGAATTACCTTTATGACTCAAAGCAGAGATAGTGGCAAGGGATCATGGGTGCCTGTTAGCTGTTTCAGTAACAACCTTTGGCAACATGGTCAGCATCCCCAGGCCACAGGTCCTAACTAGTGACCTACATTAAGGCAACCATGTAGTATTTAAAAATAAATAAGTAAACTGAGGTAGAAAAATACACATGACATGAAAAGATAATTTCAATGTAGGTCATGATAGGCACATTGCAAAGCAATCATTAAAGCATAATCCCATAACTGTGTTAAAACAACTTATGCATAAAAGACGCATAAAAATATGATTTGACATGCCTTGGCATAACTAAGGAATGCAGAAACAGTGTAAAAGCAGGAAACATTGACTTTTTAGTTCATGTACTTCTATAGCAACCCAAATTTTTTGCATGAAGGATTATCACTGCTTCAATCTTAGGATAATTTTACTTCAATCTTCCAAAAAGCCTTAACTTTATACAAAAGTTGTATCTTCTGAACTGTATTTGATCCAGTGCCTAAATACTTCAAGGCCTTATATTTCTCTAAAATTCTCACAGAGGAGGTCTGTTGTAGAGTTTGCATATATTTAATTGTGATGCTCTCTTGTACCCCTAAAAAATATTTGCCAGCTGGCCAGCCTGTAAGCGCCTGGAGAACAGGGACCTTATCACGGTCACTTGACTCACCAGAGCCTCACACTGCTGGCTTTCAAGAGTCTGCTTCCCAGGACAGAAGCCTCAGATTCAGGGTTCCTGGGGCAACAGACTCCATGGGGACTAGAGGACATCAACAGACTTCACGTCCCCTAAGATTAGAATGATAACAGGCTTCAAGTAGGTGGGTTTGTCAAGCTGAGTTTTGCTTTGCAAGGCTTCATTATGCTCACTTAATAATCTGTAACTTTACTACTCAAAAAATTATCACAGAACACATTCAGGACTTACCCTTTGTCGAAGAACGATGTATGCCCTGATCGAGAGAACTTTGTGCCATTGCCATTCAGCACCCCACAGTTAACATTCCCTGAAATATAGGATTTTCGTGATGCTTGGTCCTTTGCAAAATTCCTGCAAGCTGCTAATTTGGATTCTAAAGCCTACAAAAAAAGGAGGAATGATATGGTTGTCAAAACAGTAGCTGCACATAAAAATCTGCATTTCAAACTATTTCCATTTCAAGCCTCAAAACCTACACATCTCAGTTGATAATGACGGTTAGTTCGGCCACAATCGCCTTGCTAATAAAAAGGGGAATACTTATGTTCTCTTTCTAATGAGCTTAGAATATTTTATTTATTCGTCTTAGCATTACTGAAGGAAACACATATACTCTTCCCCTTACAACTAAGAAAAGCGTGGCACAGGAGGCCCGGCAGATCCCAGGTCTCTTGTCCCTACCCATTGTTGGTTTCTAAGGTGTAGGCTGTTGGTTGCTGTTAGGGGGCAGGGCGCATTTTGGGAGCAAGCACTACTAAAAAACCCAAAAATATCACTTGAGAATTTTTTTTAGTGCAGCCAATTCTTTCTCTAGTTCTTCATTTTTTCTACTGCATGGGAATGGATGAGAGAATTTACAACACTTTACATAAAATTAAAAGCTGTTTTATTTCTCAGAGCACTCTGTAAAATGTTTAACTGATACCCTTTGTCTGCAATTAAATAATTCACCTGCAAATGACACTGGCCCTTCAGCAGTTCCCTCTAAACTGGGCACCCTTGTTTTGTACCTGTCAGCACAACACCTGGCAAGCACCAGGCTCTACCAATAAACAGATGACATGAAGACATCAGGCATTTCTCATCTACTTCCACATGCTCAGACATCACCAACTCCCTCTTTTCCATAAACACTTTGCCCAAATCAAACCCCACCTCCTCCAAAAAGAAAAATACCATCCATGGCAAAAAAATAAATGCAATTCATGTCTATTATCCACTACAATAAAGGACTGGGAATGCACAGCTAAATTAAGTCCACAGGTAACATTTACTTCACTTTGAGAATCCATTCAAACTTCCTCCCCCCACATTCCAATAAGAGCTATTAAGAAACAGCCACGACAGCTGGGCACAGTGGCTCATCCCTGTAATCCCAGCACTTTCGGAGACCAAGGCATATCACTTGAGGCCAGGAGTTTGAGACCGGCCTGGCCAACATGGTAAAACCCGGTCTCTACTAAAGAAAAAATTAAAAAACTAGCCAGGTGTGGTGGCATACACCTGTAATCCCAGCAGGAGGCTGAGGCACAAGAATTGCTTGAACCCAGGAAGCACAGGTTGAGCCTTGATAGCGCCACTGCACTCCAGCCTGGGCAGCAGAGCGAGACTCTATCTCAAAAAAAGAAACAGCAACAAAAACAAATTTTTTTCTTCTCTTTCTTTCCTATGACAAAAGTACAATGACCTAGCAAAATGACAACAGAAAAAAGAGAGGTAATGACCTTGTAGGACAGACTCTGAATAAGCATAATTTAACAATAATTCAGCAGCTTATTAAAACTACACATACACAGCAGAAATTGAAAGCCACTCATTTCCCATATTCAAGACGTGTTCATTCATTCATTCAAATACATTATTGAGCATCTATCACACAGCAGGCACAAGTTATGTCTGAGACATCAGTGAGGCATCCAAGCACAAGGAAGCAGGTCTTTTCAGGGGAAAAGAGTGGTCTAGAGATTAGGATTTGAAAGATATTCACACCCAGCGGTGGATGAAACCATGGTTGTGATTAAGATCAGAAAATCAAGGACAGAACTCTGAGTAAAACCAATACTGAAAGGGTAAGCAGATGAAGAACCAACAAGATGACAAAAGGAATGCAAAGAAAGTTGGGAGCAGCCATGAAACAGCATCAGAGATGCAGAGAAAAGAGGGCATTAAAAAAAAAAAAAAAAAAAAGGTCAGTGTTGAATGTTTCAAGTAAAATTAGGACAGAACAGCATCCGTTAGATTGGACAGCACTGAGATCACCAGTGAGCAGTTTTGGTGGCATGAGCAGGGGACAGAGCCCAGGCTAACATCTCTGGGGAGTGCGCATGCAGTCAAAACGCTAACAATAAATGGAGACATGCTTTCAAGAAGCTTTGAAGTATGTGGTATGTACCATGTAAGTACTATATATATTTATATGGATAACATGTAATACAGAAATATTCAAGTATACATGTATAATACATACGTGTAATACATAAATGTTATACATAAGTATTAACACATATATAGCAAAAGGCAAGATACAGGAGAAATAAAGATTTGAGGGTTGGAAAAAATGAGATCCAAAGCACAGATGGACAAAATTAGCCACGGGCAGGAATTTGTACTTTCACCACTGGGACAAAAAGGAGGTATGGCTACAAATAGAGGTAATAATAGGAGGGTAATAACAGAAGATGAGAACAGAAATCAAAGGACCTTAAAGCAAATGGCCTTGATTTTCTGTGTGAAGTGGGACTTCCAGTTCAGCAGACAAAGCCATGTAAAGAGGCATAAATGAAATAGTCACAGAAGCAAACGAGGGCTGGTGGACAGCAGCAGACCAAAAGTGTTGGTGACTTTTGGAGGTCATCATTTTGATGACTCTTAGAAAACAGATGGTCGGCTGAATGCGTAAACCATTCAAGGATGCCAAATTAAACTTTCATGCACCACTTCTGAATAAATTAAAATACTAAAGCAAAACAAACAAGGAACAAAGACAGACAACATGGGGTTGAGGAACAGGCAGAACTGACCCGAGAGTAACGTGAGGAGAAATTCAAGAGCGACAACAATGCAGCGGCCCTAGAAGTGCATCAGGGCATCCTGCAGAAAGTATGAATAAGAAGCTGGAAGACATAAGAGCAAAGAAAAGTGCAGGTTTCTTCTACTCAAAAGAAAGAAGGGGAAAATAGAAATGCTAGGAAAAGAAAACAGCATACAGGTCAGCTTGATATGAATATTAAAAAACTCAACATGATTTTGAGTAAATTACAGTTAAACAAAATTCTCAAAACACATTTGTTGAGTGGCACGAATATAAAGACCAGAAGTGAAACTGTTCTGGAACACAAGGCTCACACCAAGGAGAAGGTGCTGAAGTTGAGGTGGCCAAGACTAAGAGCAGAGAGTGATGCCATGAGCCAAATTTAAAGTCCCACCAAACACAAGACAAGGGAATGACCAGGAAGATGACAGACAGCAGCAAAGACCAGGATGAGGGTGGTAGAACACACAGCAGGCCTTAGACAAAGTATTCTAGACAAGGATAGGGGCATTGTGCTGTTGAAACAGGAATGAGGAACTGGAAGAATGCCCCGGGGGGAGCCTCCGAGCTCAGGATACAGGCTTTTTTGTGGGGGCATCATGGAAGTGCCATCTGGACTAGCCTCTGGCTAGTCACTGGATGCTTTTACTTCTCAGCTTCATTACAGCCTTTACCACAGAAAAGTATCCTTTCTTTCTTCCTTCACTTCAAATCAAGAAATAATTCGGCCAGGCACAGTGGCTCACATCTGTAATCCCAGCACTTTGGGAGGCCAAGGCCGGTGGATCACCTGAGGTCGGGAGCTCACGACCAGCCTGACCAAGATGAAGACATCCCATCTCTACTAAAAATACAAATTAATTAGCCAGGCATGGTGGCACATGCCTGTAATCCCAGCTAGTTCGGAGGCAGGAGAATCGCTTAAACCTGAGAGGTAGAGGTTGCGGTGAGCCAAGATCTCACCACTGCACTCCAGACTGGGCAAAAAGAGTGAAACTCCACCTCAAAAAAAAAAAAAAAAGAAATAAGAAATAATTCAATACCTTGTCAGTGGAAACACCTAGTGATCAATAATTGAAACTTACCCCCACTTTGCGTAAGAGATCCCCCACGATGTTCAGTGCTGATATCCTAGCAGAAGGAGTTAGTGGACTGGTACCAAAACCATTTGGTATAGCTAGAGAAAAATAAAAGATGAGTGATTACACTTGCATTTCCTTTAGATTTGGGTTTGGCTGTTGAGATTACAAAGTAGTATAACACTCAACACAATATCAATAAACTACTTCCAACTATGGATAAAGTCTAGATACCATAAGCAGGTTTAACCACTCTCCAACTGCTGAACATTTACATTATGTCAAATTTTTCACCATTACAAATAATGCTACAAGGACATATACTTTTACACATCTAGACAGGTATTTCTGGAAAAGAGATTCCTAAAAATAGAACTGCTAGTTCAGAGCATATGTCCATTTTTTTCACCTTAATGCTCTCTGAAAAGCCTGTACCAATATCAGCAATCTATGCGGTGGTGCCCTCAATAATATCAGATATTATCTTTTTTTTTTTTTTTGACAATTTGATCGTCATGTTTAGTTTCTATTTCCATAGTAACTAGTCACTTGAATCTCTTCCGAAAATCAGCTGCTTAGTCTTTGTACGTTTTTTCTACTGGTTTGCTGGGAGGCCAAGGTAGGAGAATCGCTTGAACCCAGGAGGCAGAAGTTGCAAGTGAGCCAAGATCGTACCACTGAACTCTAGGCTAGGCAACAAGAGCAAAAATCCATCTCAAAAAAAAAAAAGAAAAGAAACAAACAAACACTGTAAATAGTAAGATACAATTAGAGACAGACTACTTCAGAAAGATCAGCTCTAAGATCTCACGGATTTCTCTGATCACCTGCTGCTCCTTGCAATTCTGTGCTTTCTTGCAATGAAATTGCCATGATCTAGTACACAGCAGCTTTTAGGTTAGCCAGTGAAAATTTACGCTATTGGTTCCGGCCTAAAAACATATCTATTATGCAAATATTACTGCCATAGGGTTGCTATATCTCTGCTGTGCCAGAGCAGGCTCCATGTCCGGTTGACTCCCCAAGTCCATGAATGAAAACTCTAACAGGCTATTAAAAAATACATGCACCACCTGTGGTTGTCACTGCACCTGAGGCTTTTAACTATTTTGATTAGTCCTCAACTAAAGGATTTTCAGATCTGCATAATTCTAATTAGTAACATAATAGCAAAACTTTGTTAGCCCTCAGATGTAATTGTGAAATCTTCAAATACACAAGCAGCTATTCTGAAAAACTGATAATGAGGGCTCCTGATGACTGCTATAATCCATTGCCTGCCCTTTGTCCTCAACAGTAAAGATGACATACTAGTGCAATTAGTAACACCTTACGACCATATAGCACCTTCACATACCTTATCTGATGTCACCTTGTAACAAGACAAAGGCAAGTTGAATTATCTACTCAAGAGCTACTAGGCACTTGAAATGCGGTTAATATGAACAAGAAACTGAATTTTATATTTCATTTAGATTAATATAAACCTAGGCCAAGGCGGGTGGATCACGAGGTCAAGAAATTGAGACCATCCTGGCCAACATGGTGAAACCCCATTACAAAAATTAGCTGGGCATGGTGGCGCGCGCCTGTAGTCCCAGCTACTCGGGAGGCTGAGGCAGGAGAATTGCTTGAACCTGGGAGGCGGAGGTTGCAGTGAGCTGAAATCATGCCACTGCACTCCAGCCTGGCACCTAGTGACAGAGCGAGACTGTCTTAAAAAATAACAATATTATATATACAGAGAGAGAGAGAGAGAGAGAGAGAGAGAGAGAGGGAGGGAGGGAGGGAGGGAGGGAGGGGCAGGCTAGTGACTACTTTATTGAGTAGCAAAGACATAGCTCATTGTACTAATTGCCCACATAGCATTTTGAAAGATAGAACCCTATAATGTAAAAAGGGGTGGGATGACAGCTTCTAATATAGGGTGAAAAAAAGCATTGGAGGGACAAGAGTAGCTCAAATATTAACTGTGAGCTGCAAAATCTAAACAAATCTCAATTGAGAGCTTTGGGATTCCACTTTTAAGTTTCTATCTAGTGGCTAAGTGGTTTTTCTGCTTATTTGAATTTTTAAAAACACTCTGGCTGACGGCCACGTGAAACTACCAATCATCAATTACTCTGAAAGATGCCTTTGAAAATGGCAGCTCCTGAAGCATGTAACAAAATGGGCATGTCCATCCAAGCAGGTACATGAGTCTGAAAGATAATTTAATGATTCTCTGTACATTCTATGCAGAAAGGCCTCAGGTCTCCCATAAAATGCAAAGTGGCAAAAGGAAGAAATAAGACTGTGTTTAAATATGATCCCCAGATTTGTGTGTGACAAAGAGATGTGCACAGACACACAATTTAAAAAAAACTCTAAATGTTAATGGTGGGTGTCTGTAAGTGATAACATGATTTTTATTTTCTTTTTTGTCTCTGTTTTTAAAATTTTCTACCTAAACATACTGCTATTATCAAAAAATCCATTGCTATAATCAAAAAATAAACTTTCCTTAAAAACCTTTAACTTTTAAAAATCTCATCTTAAATGTAGCCATCACTTCACTGTTTCCTATGTACAAGTGGCCCAGGAAGACAATTCCTTCTTCTGTTTCACATAGCACTAGACTTCACCAACTTTTAAACTAAAATTACTCTTTAAACCTTAGCAACCCACTTCAGCAACAAACCCCCTTTAGCTGATAATCTAACACAACGCCTCAAAAACAAAAGACATTACAAACCTTTTGGTGAAGGAAAAGTGTTCTCCGTTCCTTTGCCAACAGGGGTAGCTGGCAAAGAGAGTGACGCTTGGACAGCAGAGTCCATCTTTTCACAGTCTAGAGTTGGAGAGCTAGGAGCCGACTTTCTAGTTACTTCTTGTTGTCTTTCTCGAACTGCTAGTTCTTGCCTTAAATCTGTAAAATATTGCAAACAAGGGAAGGAATACTCACTAGAGGGAGAAAATTTATCAAGAAAAGTGACATCTAAAATGTTATAAAGACTTTCTTTCTAAATTACTATTTCTCAAAAAATAATTTTCTAGTTATTAATAATTTTTATATCTAGGGTAATAAAAATAGCAAAACTATCTAAATGATCTTTCAGAATTTAAAAATGTTATAACCTGAGAGAAGTTACTTACGCTCATATGCAAAAAGAAATAGTGCAGAGTACAGAGTACAATTCACACAAAAGTAAATATTCTTCACCAACTCATTTGCTTTTATTTTCAAATGTGTAGTTTTGGGATTATTGCAAAACTGACTGTGGATTTTTGTAATTTTAAATGGGTTGGTATTAACTATCACCACTACGAAATATTTGGTTTTAGAAAAGAAGTACTCAGAACAGTTTAAGGTTTTTTCATGCTTTCAAATATCAAGGATTTTTTTTTTCTTTTTTGAGATGGAGTCTTGCTTTGTCGCCCAGGCTGGAGTGCAGCGGCGCAATCTCAGCACACTGCAACCTCTGCCTCCGGGTGCAAGCAATTCTCCTGGCTCAGCCTCCCCAGTAGCTGGGATTACAGACAACTGCCAGTATGCCCAGCTAAATTTTTTGTATTTTTAGTAGAGACAGGGTTTCACCATGTTGGTCAGGCTGGTCTCAAACTCCTGACCTCAAATGATCTGCCCGCCTCAGCCTCCCAAGGCGCTGGGATTACAGACGTGAGCCACCACACCCAGCCAATATCAAGTTTTTAACCAAGAATTAATGTTTTCTTTTCCAATTATGCAATTAACCTACAGAATATTTGTTTATGTTAACAAAGAAACAAAGTCATCCCCCTTTTGGGTATGTATCCAAAAGAATTCAAAACAGGATCTCAAAGAGATACATTTGCACACCCATGTTCACAGTGACATCATTCACAATAGTCAAGAGATGGGAGCAACTCAGAGCAACTCGACGTCCACCCACAGATGAACAGATAAAGAAAATGAATACATACAATGGACTATCATTCAGCCTTTAAAAAGAAGGAAATCTTGTCACATGCTACACATGGATAAATGTTGAGGACACTATGTTAAGTGTAATAGGCCAGTCACAAATACTCTATAATTCCCCTTATATGAGGTATCTAAAGTAGTTAAACTCATAGAAAGTAGAACTGCGGTTGCAAGGGGCTAAAAGGAAGGGAAAATGAGCAGTGACTATTCAATAGGCATAGTTTCCGTTTTGCAAGATGAAAAAGTTCTAAAAATCTGTTTACACAACAATTTCACTATACTTAATTAACACTGCTGGACTGTACACTTAAAAATTGTTAAGAAGCCAGGCACAGTGGCTCACACCTGTAATCCCAACATTTTGGGAGACAGAAACAGAAGGATCACTTAAGGCCAAGAGTTCAAGACCAGCCTGGCTGACATAGTGAGACCGTGTTGCCACAAAAAAATTTTTTTTAATTAGCCAGATGTAGTAGCACATTACTGTAATCCTAGCTACACAGGAGGCTGAGGTGGGAGGATCACTTAAGCTTAGGAGTTTGAGGCTGCAGTGAGCTATCATCACGCCACTGTAACCCAGCCTGGGCAACAGAGCAAATCCTGTCTCAAAAAAAAAAAAACTAGGGTAGTTAAGACGGTCAATGTTATGTGTTTTTTAACCACAGTTATAACCAAGTAAGGTATAAATTATGAGAAGTTCTTCAGGTAAACATACCACTTCCTCGGGGGGAAAAAAAAGACATAATAAAACTCTCTCTGAAAGATTCAAGAAATATTGGACAAGAAGTTTCACAAGTAGTAATTGAACTACAAATCAGAAAACAAGATAGCAATTTTCAACTTTCAAATGGACTGATATTTAAATTATTTTGTTAATAATTATTAACAAAGCTGTAGAGTATGAAGACACTCAGTTGTTACCAC